ACAGACATGCGCCACCATGCCCGGCGAATTTTTTTCTATATATTTTTAGTTGTCCAATTAATTTCTTTCTATTTTTTTTAGTAGAGACGAGGTCTCGCTCTTGCTCAGGCTGGTCTCGAACTCCTGAGCTCAAATAATCCGCCCGCCTCAGCCTCCCAGAGTGCTAGGATTATAGGCGTGAGCCACCGCGCTTGGCCTGCATCTGTTTTCTTTCACTTAACATAATTTTTTGAGATTCATTCATGTTGTAGCATGTATCGGTAGTTCATTTTTTTGTATTGCTGAGTGGTATTGCATTGTGTGGACATACCGAATTTTATTCATTCATCAGTTGATGGACATTTGGATTGTTTCTACTTTGGGCTATTAAAAATAATGTTACTATGAACAATCAACTGTAAGTCTTTCTGTGGAAATTTTTCATTTCTTTTGGGTAAATACCTACCAGTGGAATTCTCTGTGTTTTGTTTTCAAGAAACTTTTTTAAAGATCTGCCAACTGTTTTCTCCCATCCAAGTACTAACCAGGCCCGACCCTGTTTAGCTTCCGAGATCGGGCACGTTCAGGGTGGTATGGCAGTAGACTGCCAACTGTTTTCTAAAGTGGCTACCCCATCTTACATTCCCACCAGCAGCATATGGTTCTCATTACTCTACATCTTGCCAATACTTGTGTCTTTTTGATTGTAACCATCCTAATGCCTATGAAATAGTATCTCATAATTTTAATTTTCCTAATAAAGATATTGAGCATCTTTTCATATGCTTATAGGCTGGCCATATGTTTATCTTTAGTAAAACATGTATTCAGATCTTTTGCTCATTTTTAAATTGGATTATTGCCATGTTATTACTGAGTTTTATGAGTTTATAATAGTCTAGATAAAAATCCTTTATGAGAAATACAATTTGTAAATATGTTCTCCCACTCTGTGGCTTATCTTTTTATTCTCTTAATGGAGTCTTTTGAAGCGCGAAAGTTTTTGTGGAAGTCCTGTCAATTTTTTCTTATGTGGATCATGCTTTTGTTATTGTATCTTAGGAACTTTTTGTTTAACCTAAATTTTTAAAGTAAAGATTTTCTCCTGTGTTTTCTTCTTAAAGTCTTACAGCTCTAGTTCTTACAATTAAATATATAACCCATTTTAATTTTTGTTATTACAGTGTGAGGTAAGGCTCTAAATTAATCTTTTTGCATGTGGATATTCAGTTGTCCCATTTACCTTTATTTCAACAGAATTTTCTGATGGCACACAGATTCCATTTATTACATGTTTATATTCAACAGTGTGTGTATATTTTAAGACAGAATATAAAGATAGAAATTGGTTGTTTCTCATCAGGCCTTTTTGCTATTATTATTAATTTTTTACTAGGGTAAAAATATATTATTGTCGAATTATATTGAAGTTGGTGCCTCAATATATTGGTCTGAGCCGGATGCAGTGGCACGTGCCTATAATCCCAGCTCCAGGGAAGGCTCAGGTGGGAAGATCGCTTGAGGTCAGGAGTTCAAGACCAGTGTGGGCAACATAGACCTCGTCTCTTTAAAAAAAAAAAAAAAAATACATATACACACACATGTACATATATATGTGTATATATATATGTATGTATTGGTCCGTATTTACTTACATAATATTTCATCAGTATTTTGTAGAATGAATAAATATAGAAGAAACATTAGGAGAACAAGATGACTTAAGGTAGGTTTAGAATAGGCCATGATAGGAAATCTTGTAGCCTTTCTTGTTTGCTTAGATTCATTGTCCTTCTCCCCTTGAACTACCGCAGAAGGCCAGCCACCTCTACCCTGCCATTATTACAGGCTTGTGCACACATTCCTCTTTCCCTTGGTGTAGTATAATAGTTGGATTTTGAGGAAAAAACAGATATTTTCTTTATCCTTGAACCTGTTTTTAAAAAATATGAAGTGCAGCTAAGGCAAAGTTTTTTGATTCTTTGGTAAAGTAGCTTAAGTTTGTATATGACAAAATTTAATTGAAAAATCAGATTTTTTTGTTTGTTTTTGTGCTAGTCTCAACGAGAGCCTTTGACAAGAGCACGAAGTGAAGAAATGGGCAGGATCGTACCAGGACTGCCTTCAGGCTGGGCCAAGGTAAAAGTCAAATTTAGCACTGGAATAAATAATATAGTCACTATATTCTTTCAAAAAATACTTTTTATTTTGCTTATTTTACATCTTTTCTAGTGTAGAGTCAATTCTGTTTCTTTATCTTAGTGGACATAGTCTTTTCCCCTAATTATAGCAGGGTTAGATTTCTCAATACCCAGCCTGGGTTACTGTCTACAGTATATGAACATTCTGGCATTTGTCATTTAGAAACAGTGTATTATTACTTAAACCCTACATTTCTCTGAAGTTTAATTATAGAAGTGATTATCACCATTTTATTCAAATTATTTTTTTCCAAAAATAAATTTAGCAATAGAATACTTTGGAGTGATTTGTTTATATAGTGGTCATTTTGGGATTTTGACCTGTTTTTTTTCTTTTCCATCTAAGTTTCTTGACCCAATCACCGGAACCTTTCGTTATTATCATTCACCCACCAACACTGTTCATATGTATCCACCGGAAATGGCTCCTTCCTCCGCACCTCCTTCCACCCCTCCAACTCATAAAGCCAAGCCACAGATTCCTGCTGAGCGGGATAGGGAACCATCCAAACTGAAGCGCTCCTACTCCTCCCCAGATATAACCCAGGCCATTCAAGAGGAAGAGAAGAGGAAGCCAACAGTAACTCCAGCAGTTAATCGAGAAAACAAGTAAGTTTATCCTAACTCCTAGGACTGTTATAATGTGCTGTATTTTAAAACTTTTGCTGTAAATATATCTGCATTTTAATGTTAGGGAATCAGAAATTTCTGTGAATGGCTATACCAGCCATTGTTACTTACTATGGAGAAAAAAACAAATGAATAGAGAAAATGTCCTTGGTTTTTCTTCCAAGTGCTAATTTAATATCATACCAGAGGGGATTATCATAAGTGTTAATGTAGATAATATAAAAGTACGTATGTTGTTATATTTTATGGAGCATGCCACAGAACGCCCACAAGTTTTTCATAGACTTCCCATGGTCCCTAAACCTCCCTTTGAGGACCATAGGATTGTTTAGTTTGCCTTGTTGTAGCACTCAAGTTCCAAACTTTTATTTTCCTTAGCCAATAATGTGAGAGTGAAGTTTTTCTGTAGTATTAAAGTAACAAGCACTGTAGCGTATCAGCCTCTAATTCTTATTGTTCCTTTTTTCTTCATTGTATTTTTGCTATTCTAGTGATCAGTAGATTCATCAAGTTTCCCCAAACAGTATCTCATTTAGATATATTCCTGGCTTCATTCCTTTTAGAATCCTTCAGTGCTCCTGGTTTATGACTGATAGGGCTACGAGGAGATGATTTTCAAGTCTATGTACGACTTCTCATCTTTACTTTTGGGGGGAGGAGAAGGGGAAATACATAAAAGCATAAATAAATGGGTTTGTTTTCCATTTATTATACACATTCTCTTAATTACTAAGGAATTACAATTAGGCTATCTTTTTGGCCTCTTTAATAACACATCTCAAGAAAGTAGTTAAAATTTTTTCCTCCTGAGAACTACCCTGCCAGGTAATGACTTATTTGAAGGAGCTTTTTAAAGTTCCGTTAATCTAGTTACAGATTTTAGAGTTCACTATAATAAGTGGTGAGATTTAATTCCTTCTTGAATCATCATTCTTCTTAAAGACAGTAAACATGCAGTAAACAGTAAACAGTTCTTAAACATGCAGTTCATGTTTATTTTTGTATGTATTGAACAGAGAGCACATGAGTACATGCACCTGTTCTCAGTATTCCTTTTAGGGGTGGAAGAATGCTGGTGATCTATAAAATAAAAGAAAAAAGACCTATCAGAATTTCCCAAATGCTACAGCAGCTCTAGTAGTTCATGTATAAATTAAATACACATTACATAATAAAAGTCTAAGAGGCGTTCTCTAGCCCAGTGGTGTCCAGTAGTTCTTTCTGTGGCTATGGGAATGTTCTGTATCCGTGCTGTCCAATATGGTTTTTGGCCAATTTGAAATGTGATTAGTGCAGCTGAAGAAGTGAAGTTTTATTTAAATTTGAGTAGATAGCAGTGGCTAGTCAGCACACCTCTAGACCTTAGGTGATAGTAGCCAAGTAACCTCTACCTCCTTTAATATCTATTCCACAGTAATATATTTTTTTGATTCCTTGTTTGGCATTCTGGTTGAGTTCAGACATTTGATAGTGCCAAACTTTCTGGGATCATTTAAAAGAGTTTAAAAGAGCCTTCTCTACTGGAGCTCCTAGTTCATGAGAAGCTAGAGAATCTATCTCAGGGCATCTCTAAGAACCGTGGACCCACATAAGTTAAAGGTATATGTTTCATGGGAGAGTGTCAGAATACAACCAGTGTTAACCTAGATACTAAATGTCCTATAAGACCCAGCACCTTATGAGTTAACATATTAACTGTTTATAAGATACCTGTGGTACAGGTGTTAGAGTTTGCTGCCATTTCTAGAATGAACCTTAATTTGAGATACTCTACACTTTAACACATCTTGTATACGTTTTCTTCCTCAGGCCAACATGCTACCCTAAAGCTGAGATCTCAAGGCTTTCTGCTTCTCAGATTCGGAACCTGAATCCTGTTTTTGGAGGATCTGGACCAGCTCTTACTGGACTCCGTAATTTAGGAAATACTTGCTACATGAACTCAATATTGCAGTGCCTATGTAATGCTCCACATTTAGCTGATTATTTTAACCGAAACTGTTACCAGGATGATATTAACAGGTAAATAAATGTCTTACTTTTTGCATCATAATGTTAAAAGGATGATGTAATGATATTATTATCTTAGTCCATTTTATGCTTCTATAACAAAATATCTGGGTAATTTAGAAGGAGCAGAAATTTATTTTCTCATCGTTCTGGAGGCAGGGAAGGCCAGGATCAAGGTTCCGGCATCTGGTGAGCCTTCTTGCTGCATCCTCACATAGCAGAAAGATGGACTGGCAAGAAAACAAAGTTTATATGAGGGTACCTAATCCCATCGTCATGGCCTAATTACTTCCTAAAGGCCCCACTTCTTAATACCATCACATGGGTAACACCTGAATTTTGGAAAGGATGCATTCTAGCCATAGTGCTTACCCCACCCAGCTCCAGAGAAGTCAAATTAGCAAAGGGGAAAATATCTTTATTTGTAAGAATAATGTAGAGAAAAGCCTTCTCTGATCAGTAAAGGACAGATGGGATAAGAGCAGTGTAGGAAGACAGAACCTCACTGTCATCAACTAGAGCCTGTTGATGAGGAGACCCTGCAGATTTCACAGCCAAAAGGAAGAAGTAAAGTTGGAGGGATGTAAGCAAAGTAAAATTCAGATGAATGGTAATAAACCTGCAAATAAATGTTTTAATGGAGGGCTACAGTATGTGAATAGTTCAATGTTGACATCAAGAATCCACTGTACCGAGGCTGAGGCGGGAGGATCGCTTGAGGTCAGGAATTTGAGACCAGCCTGAGCAAGAGCGAGACCCCGTCTCTACTAAAAAAAAAAAAAAAAAAAAATAGCAATTAGCTGGACAACTAAAATATATATAGAAAAAATTAGCCGGACATAGTGGTGCATGCCTGTAGTCCCAGCTACTCGGGAGGCTGAGGCAGTAGGATCGCTTGAGCCCAGGAGTTTGAGGTTGCTGTGAGCTAGGCTGATGCCATGGAACTGTAGCCTGGGCAACAGAGTGAGACTCTGTCTCAAAACAAAAGAATCCACTGTACCTTTAAAATTTTTCCTTTATTGCCTTTTTTGTAATGTTAATTTTTTTACATAGGTCAAATTTGTTGGGGCATAAAGGTGAAGTGGCAGAAGAATTTGGTATAATCATGAAAGCCTTGTGGACAGGACAGTATAGGTATATCAGTCCAAAAGACTTTAAAATCACCATTGGGAAGATCAATGACCAGTTTGCAGGATACAGCCAGCAAGATTCACAAGAACTGCTTCTGTTCCTAATGGATGGTCTCCATGAAGATCTAAATAAAGTAAGAAATTTGATTTTTCTAAGTTGCAAAGGCTTTTTAGGGTTGCTTAGTAGCACTGTAGTCATTTTCATAGCAATTTTAAAATTCTAGTTGTCATTGTTCAGTGCTAGTTTATGTGAATATAGTGCTTTGTATAAGGTTTAGAACTATAAAATTAATATATGTGATAAGCGTAATATTTGAAATGAAATATATACAATTGGTATTTACTTAAATGTTAACAGGTAATATTGCTGAGAAATTTGCAAGCGTTAAAATAGTTGGAAGTGTTTGTGAACCACACGTATGTGAAAGTAAGATCACAAACGTATGCTTTTATGAGATTAGCTATACATAGTTCGAGCATTTTTACTATAGATTATATAATATTTATATTATGCTATATCCTTATATTCTCCCAGTCCCTTGCTGAAAGTGGAGTATGTCCTTATTTTTTTCCTAAAATAAGAATTACTCCATGTAACCAAATGACTCATGCGAATAGTTATTATTGAGATGTATCTATACGTAAATGACTACCCTCCATTTGTGTACTGCTGCTGCTTTTTAGCACCAGGCTGTCATCTTTCAGATATCTTTGGGATCACCATTCTTACCAGTGAGCATATTTACACACATACACATGAATATGTATACACATATGTATACGTATGTGTGTATATATATCCATTCTTGAGGCTAGGGCAACGAAATTACATCTGTCTAGTTGGAGCCCTAATTCCCAGCTATCTGTGGGAAATCTTCCTTTCAAAACTAAACATTTCAGCTTTTAAAATAAAAATTTGTTAAGAGATTCCAACAAGTTGCACTCCTGATAAAATGGGTTTGGCCAGAATTATTTTTTTTGCAGCAATGAGATGAGAACTGCTTTATGAGAACTACAAGCATTTCTCAGTCTGCAAAGTGTGTGTATTTAATTTTATTCTTTTAATTTATATTTAAATGTTATTAACATAGAGTTTAAACGATCTTACTTCCAGGCTGATAATCGGAAGAGACATAAAGAAGAAAATAATGATCATCTCGATGACTTCAAAGCTGCAGAACATGCTTGGCAGAAACACAAGCAGCTCAACGAATCTATTATTGTTGCACTTTTCCAGGGTCAATTCAAATCCACAGTACAGTGCCTCACCTGTCACAAAAAGTCTAGGACATTTGAGGCCTTCATGTATTTGTCTCTACCACTAGCATCCACAAGTAAATGTACATTACAGGTAAGTTTAAGACAGAGAATGATTTGTTGGATAACAGTGCGGTGTGTATGGATACAGAGAGGTACTTTATTCAGGAATTTCTGGTCTTTACCCCTATAAAAATTTTATAAGTAAAACTGACACATTGTTTTAATTAGGCCTTCGTAGATTAGAATTAGATTTTCTTTTTTCAGGTGTCTATTATATTCTTCCAGAGTTGATAAGTAATGTTTTTAAAAGTTTATATTTTTAAGAAGACTTAAAAGTTAATTTTGAAAGTTGTATGTTGACTTTAACTTAGGTCTGCTTTTTAT